TGCATTAACAACCCAAGTTTACTACCATTGAAAGAACCGAATTAATAACAAGCGTATTACCCGATTGATTCTAGTAATAATTAATATATGAAACAAAACTAGTTGATCCTTTAAGTAATGTTCAAAATATTAATATGAAATATGAATAGGAATTAATTAATACTCAAGGAAGAATATTAAAGAAGATGAATCCTACTATAGTTAATATCAAGATGTTAACTAATTGTCATCTTAGTAACACTCCCCAATATTAACATAGAGGAAGAAATAGCTATTACTATAACTAATGTCAAGATGTTAACTAATTGTCATCTTAGTAACACTCCCCAACATTGATATAGAAATAGTATTTAAAGGAAAAATTAATATTCAAGGAAGAAGATTAAAGAGAATAACTCACAACTTACAAATTCATTAAGCTTCAAAGTAGCAAAACCAAGATATGGAAGTTTAGCTCCTCATTTGGAGACTAAACATGATGAAAAATATAAAGAAAGAACTTGTCTAAACTGAGCTTAAGAGTATATAGGAATTGGTTCTTTTATTGTGAAGGGAAGGGGTGTATTTATAGGCTTTTGGGAGCTGCAGGGTCGGATACCCGATCGGGTATATAGGATACCCGATCGGGTATCTTAGGAAATTGCCCAGAAAGTCACTTTTCTGGGCATACCCGATCGGGTATGTCGGCATACCCGATCGGGTATGTGACAAATCTTCAAGAAAATTTGCTCCCACAATCATTTGTTCCCGGATTTGATTTGGACAATCGAATCAAGCGAATACCCGATCGGGTATAGGCAATACCCGATCGGGTACATGAGTATTTTTTCCAAATCGAAATCTTTCTTGTCTCCTTGCACTTTCCTTGATCTTTTAAGGTCCAATCTTGATCCCTTGGATGATCTTTGACCTGTTTAGCTCAGAATAATCCTAATCTAAACAAATTACAAATAAAAATGAAAATAAAATATTACACCAAAAGTGTGTAATTTCCACAACTAGAACTAATAAAAACTAGTTAAAAATACAAACATACAATCGGAAATTACACAAATGTCAATATCACTAGTAACTTTACCCATGCCGCGCACATGATAAAATGATTTTGGATTTTTAGTTTTAATATGTATGTGCATGCTTTGACAGATGTATGAGTTATTAACTTATTATAACCAACGGAAAACCGCTTATTTAGTCCATTACAATATTGGTTGATAATACATATTATCATTTGTTGAGTTTATCTTATTTTTGAACAAATTACCTAAATATGTATCTTGTCTATATTTTCTAATTAAAAGAGCCATTTTTTATAATTCTCAATTGCATCCAAATGAAATTATTCTTTTCAACCATCTTTATCTAAACAAACAAAAAATTGCCTAGTGCCTATTTTTATCCATTATATTTCATTCGTGGCTTACTGTTTTTTCAAAACTAACTACACTTTTTTCGTAATTTATTCAATAATGAGTGTATTATTCAACATTTTTTAAGATATCAGCCCTTCTGAGATTTAGAATTCAGGAAATTAGTCATTGTTTCTTTAAGAAGAGAGTTTAGTTTGTGACATTCTGGTTTTAAATGAAGACGATAGGGGAGACATAGGCTGCATAACACGATTAGAAGTGGTTGACATAAATTTCATTAAATTGGGTGGTTGATGGTATCATGATCTTATTAAGTAAAATAAGTTCAACTTAAACGAATAAAGGTTGCATGCTTTAATCTTTTAGTAGGCATTTTTTATCTGATTGTGAGATGAATTAATTATATAAAAAGATTCTCAACGAAACATAAAACGACAGATATCCCATGTTCGGAAATGAAAAATGCTCTCAATTTTCATGACCAATATTATTATATGAGAGCATCTCAATTTTCATTGACCAAATATTATTATATTAAAGTTACCCCTTAAACACGCTCTACTTTATATATCTAGCTCTTAAAAGTACCACTTTTAGTGTCAGGATATGATTGTTATACCGATAATTAATTAACTTTCACTGTGCTGGAAGTCTGAAACTCTCAATCAAAATATATCAAGATTAATATATACACTAATATAAAAAACAACCTTTGCTTTCATATATCAGATTAAAAAAATTGATTCCAGTAGAAAGATGAACATAAATTTGAGATAACATTAAGACAATTATGTATTTAGAAAATTTTAACTCTTGCAAATTTGTTTTTTTAATTTTTTTCCCCACATTCATTTGATGATGTTTCAATCTTTTTGCATTTTCGGGGAATAATTTGAAAGTGTTTAGAAAAGTCTTGACACAATTTTATTGAAATGATTTGGGAGAGCTTAAAAAGGATTTCTCATATATTCCATTTTCATTTCCGTTTAGTACATGTAGTTATTAGATTTAATAAAATTAAACAGATTTTAAAGGATTATGTTAATATATACACTAATATAAAAAATAACTTTTGATTTCATATATCAGATTAAAAAAATTGATTTCAGTAGAAAGGTGAACATAAATTTGGGATACATTAAGATAATTGTGTATTTAGCAAAACTTGCAATCTTGTTGTTTTGATTTTTTCCAACTTCCATTCGATGATGTTTCAAACTTTTTGGCATTTTTGGAAATAATTTAAAAGTTATTAGAAAAGTCTTGACACAAATTTATTGATATGTTATTAGAAATCTTACATGAAGATCTTTTTATTGGATTGAAATTTTTCTGATCTGGTCTGATCTATTTAGATATCGCCTGGTCTATGAATATTGAGAAAACTTTACATAAATAACGTTTAGAATTTTGTTGAGTTCTAATGGAACCCAACAAAACTTTCCATAAATACTAATTCATAATCTAATAAAATAAAATTGAGAACCTTTAGTTGAGATGGAGGAACTCCTAGTATCATTCAAAGTCCAATAATAATAATAATAATGTTCAATGTATAATAATGCTCAATGCCTATTTTTATCCACTAAATTTCATTTGTGACTTATTGCTTTTTTTCTTTCAAAAACTAACTACACACTTTTGTAATTTATTTATAAAAGTGAGTGTAGTCAACTTTTTTGAAAATATTAGTCCTTATTTCTCTTAACCGATAATTCAAGTATATTTTGAGAAATAAATTTGATGATTATATAATATAACAGGGTCATTGAATATAAATGTGGTGTTAAAAATGTATTATTTTTAATATTTAATAATCAAACTATCATTAAAAGTACTAATTAAAAAGAGTCAAAAAGCAGTATACTCTGATTAGTGTTATTACACGATATTAGAATTTGTAGATAAGGAGATTCATTGAATCTAATAATTTAATGTCGAGTTCTAAATTTTAGGTGGGACTCCTTTAAAGATTTTTTTATTAGATTGAAATTTTCTAATATGATCTATTTAGATATTGTCTGGTCAATGAATATTGAGAAAATTTTACATAAATAACATTTAGAATTTTGTTGAATTCTAATGGAACCCAACAAAACTTTTAATAATTCATAATTGTATTTTTCAAATTGAAGTTTAATGTAACATAGAATGTATAGAGTGTTTTATGATTTTTTACGTAGTATAATCTACCATGAGTTCTAATTGTAGACTAATTTAATATGAGTTTAATTTGACGTAGAACTCCAACATTGCAGTTGAAAATTAATGTAATTAATCTAACTTAAATTCTAATGTATGTAGTATAGCTAGAATTAATATACTTCGTACATGACATATAAATTGGAAAGAGAAAATAGATTAGTATAATAAAACTTTTAATAATTGTATTTTTGAAATATATTATTTATAGATAGATATATGTATTATTTATAGATAGGTAGTTATTTCATTATTAGGGAGTATAAGTTATTTACTTATCAAGATAAGAAATATGGTGATTGTATTGAGACAAAATACAACTAAATTAATGCACGGTATTTAAAGGAAGCACGGTATTTCAAGCAAACGTCAAAAAGGTATTCCGTAATTTCCAACACAAACATAGCTGTGACTTTTGTTTGTCTTTCTAATCCTAAAATGCAGAGTAATTAATTGCGCATTTTTCGTGTACAAAAGCATCGCTTTATTACTCAAATTAATTTCCTAGTCATTTTAGTCTCTAATGATGAAACAAAAATGGAATTATATGTTCATATCATCTGCAAATAATTTCAGTTTCATATTAATGTCAAGCTAATTCTTGTCGTTTCTAGTTTAACAAAAACAATGTTTATTAGTTATCTTTCATCTCAACTCAAATTTTAATGAAATAGTTACACATATATGACTAAATAAAGTAAGAGATCTCTGTTATTTACAAAAATATGATCTCCTAAATATAGTTGCTATAATAGTAACTTAGTAATGATAACTTATGATTTATTTTTAAATTTGAGTGATCATGAAACTATATTAAAATAACTATCATTCATATTTTTTAATGGTCGGTCTAATGGAAATAAAACAATTTCCAAGAGGAGAAAAGTAATAGTGTAATACTGTCTCTGTCACACAACATAGTTTTGTTCGAATTTTACAAGTTTATTAACAATATTTTTGTTATAAAATTAAATAATCATATTAGAAAAGTTGAAAAGAAAAACATACAGAATATTTTTTTTTCCTTATTTAATTTCGTGGGACTAAATGGACTAATAATAAGAACTTTCCAAAGTAAGAATAACGACAATGTAATAAAATTCTAAATAGGAGTATAATATTTATTTTCCTTAATAGAAATACATTATTGTAATTCTAAAATAATGCGTAGTACTATTATATTTTGATAGCACTAGTCATTAATATTGCCATATTAATATCATACTTAGCACTATTTTTCAAACATAAATACATAATACGGAATAATAATTACCCTTAGATAAAATATCACTTATTTTAATATTTCACTTTGTTTTTACACACCTATTTAGAATAATTTGTGTAATGACAATAATTAGAATAGTTGAAAAAAATGTCCGTTGGTTGTGTTTTCTTTTAAGGTTTAACTTTTTGGTCTATTTGTGAATTGTGAAGTACTGATGTCACTTTCGTCTTTTGTATCTGCAAGGCGTGGGAGAAAAATAGAATCAAGATCCTTCCTCTCCTTTTCCTTCCCCACTCTTTTTTCTTCTTGTTCATCTTCTGTATCTGAATCCCTCCTTTTCAATTCTTGCCTTAATGAAGCCATTACTTTCCTAATTTTCTTTAATGGTTGTAATTTGAAAAAAGGAGCTTATTTATTCAAAAGGCCTTTAAGCTTTAACATCTGAGCTAGCTTCTACTCTCAGGCTCTGAGGCAGTTTGCTTCTACTGTGTGTGGATTGGGGGCAAAAGAAGAAGAAGCAGAGCAGATGGGATTGATCCCAGGGACCAGGCAGCCACTGCACAAGCCTGGAAAGGGCGTATCTTCAAGATGGGTCTTCTTGCTTTGCATTGCAAGCTTTTGCTTCGGTGTTCTTCTAGTCAACAGGTTGTTTCAGCTACTACTTTCATCCTTCAGTTTCTTAATTTTGCCAGTAATCTTCTGCATTATGAGCTTAGTAGCAGGCAAGCAGCAAATTTGTGGTGGCAGATTTGATTATTGCAAGTTATAAGTTGTTGGCTTGTTGCATATGGCATTTTGTTTTGGGGCAAGGTTAAGAAATCCAAGATTAGGGTTCAGAATGATGTATTTAGTCATATACTGCAATTTCTTGCGCAGATTTAGGGATTCAAAGATTCTCCTTTTATGTAAGAACTAAAAAGTCAAGCAGTTCATATTAACACTGATCCTTCATCCTTTAAATTGTACATACTAAGTTACCTCCCAACCGAGTGTTACATATATAAGGTTGGACTTCCTTCCTAAAGAGTCGATGTAATAAGTGATATTTTATATTTAACAGATGTAGGATAAACTCTTCAACAATATGAGAGTATTTGTCTTTCACATAATACCTAAAGTGGAAAAGTTGAATCAGGTTTTTATTTACAGGTGATTATATTAAACAGTTTGCTGAATGTACTATCAGGTTGTGGTCAGTAGCCATCACAACAGTAGAGGAGGGGGGTTCTCCGGAACAGCTAAAGTCAGGAGGTTCTCACCCTGTTGCTAAGTGCCAACATAATAAGGCAAGTCTGGCTGATGAATATTGTTCTGAGTCTGTTAAGGCCTATTTGGATGGAGGGTTTTTGCAAGGGGAGGTTTGAGAGATCTTTGTCTATACAGGGTATGCCCCTTGCAATTAGGTTTTTAGGAGGATGGGATGTGCACCGACCTTACCACTACCATAGCAGACTAGCAGTACAGACTAAGCATGCCAAGCCTTTTTCTCTCCAAAACCTTTCACCCAAACAGACACTTAAGCTTCACCATTTTTTACTTTTGATGGCATTCATAGTAATTGCAGGAATCTTTTTTCTTTTCAGGAAAGAGATATACTAACCCGGGTTTCTCAAACACACAATGTGATAATGTAATTTATTATCCTCTTTCTTCTAAGTTAATCATAAGATTCTTTACACCTGCTCTATTTAACACTCCTTTAACTGGTCGAACTTTTCAGGGAGTTGGATAAAACAATATCAACTCTGGAAATGCAGCTTGCTTCAGCCAGAGCTGCTAAAGAAGACAAGGGGGGAAAAGATGATGTTGTTGAAGGAAAACTAGGGAGTGAACCTTTGACTGATCGTCCAAAACATTTTTTTGTCATGGGAATCATGACAGGTTTCAGCAGCAGAAAGCGGAGAGATTCAGTTAGAGAAACTTGGATGCCTGGAGGTAAAGGTTTCTATATAGATTTCTGAGTTAATACCCAGTTTAGTATCTCAACTATAGGCTACAAGTCCATTAGGTTCTTAATTAATTTTTTATGGACTCAATATGGTCCTTGACTAATGGCTATGATATTTGCACCCGGTTTAGTCCTCATTCATATTTGGTTTTAAATAAGAAGTGTGATTTTTTGTATTCACGAGTTTTAGACCCAGTTTCATCTTCTTGGCCATCGAGGATTTAATTTGGATCCAATAGTTCTCAGTGTACAGAAATACCCTTCTTAATATTACCAGAATATGCATGAAGCCTTTACTGAGTCTAAATTGCACTGTCAATAACCAAACAGAGTCCAGTAGAAAATCGAGGATCAAATTCAGTAATGGTGTATAGTTGAGGAACCAGATTGGTTATTAAGTCTATTTTTTACCATGCATATTTGGTTCTCCAATATGTTTTTATCTGTATCAGGAGAAAATCTGAAGAAGTTGGAAAAAGAAAAAGGTATTATAATACGTTTTGTGATAGGCCACAGGTAAGTTCTGTTATGAAAAAAATATAATAATATTACACGGAAATGTCTGTTGCAATTAATGAAATCTGATTTCCTCTTCCCACTGTTTAGTGCGGCTCGAGACGGAGTCTTAGATCGTGCAATTGATGCAGAAGAAGCACAACATAAAGATTTCTTAAGACTGGTATTAACTTCTTTCTTTTCACATAACATAAAGTCATGACCTTTTGTTATTCTTTTACCTTCTGTTTCCTGTCTTCTCAATTCAAGTAATAATAAGAAAGTAGAAGCCTTATATTGACCAACTTTAGCAGTGATTTACTGATTTAAGATGATTGCAAACCCGTTTCTAGTTGCTCTCCCCATCTATAATCTTTGAATGAAACCCATCCATATGGTTATAATTGGTAAATCCATTTCCTACAGCATTAATATTTTTACCCTGTTCCTCTATTCACTGTCCACTTTCTTTGTTTTCTTTTTATAGCGTTTGCTAAAGTTGACACAAGGGGTCATCCTGCATGTCTACTTAAATTTTTGACAGTTAAAGAAACTCTTAGTTCAGTAATACCATTAACAAACCTATAGAGAGCAGTGTAAGAAAGAAGACATTTATACTCGTGGGTTCTTTCTAAAGTTAAAATTAAAGAAATACAGAAAATAAGTTTGTGAACATAAGGGACCCTGAGAATAAAACAGTAAAGGGGTTTGACCATTAGGTGCAGATAACATTTGGTGTTTTCAAATACCTCTGATTGTTGTGATGAAATAAATTGTGCTTAAACCTGATGTGTGTTATTATGGGACTATATGCAGAATCATGTAGAGGGATATCATGAATTACCCACAAAAACACAAATCTACTTTTCAACTGTTTCTGCAAAATGGGATGCTGACTTCTATATCAAAGTTGATGATGATGTGCATATCAATCTTGGTGAGGATTCAGTCTTCTTCTGACACAAAATTATCAATTTGTAGTATTTTTTTGTAATGATTTGGAGTTCTATTCTAAAAGTCAACCTTATAGGAGGAATAGCTCAAAGCATTATATGGTGATTTGTATCTTTATAATTAATTGGTATGAGGTGTTTTAACCATCTTAAGATAGCAATTATCATTCTATAGATGTTGACTCAATCAAATATCCTCTAAACAGGTATAGTGGGCTCAATATTAGCTCGCCATCGCTCTAAACCTCGTATTTATGTTGGTTGCATGAAGTCTGGACCCGTTCTTGCAAAAAAGTAAGTATGCTGGATGGTGGTGTGTGATGAACTGCCTAGTAGTGTGTTAATTTTACTTGATGTATATGTGATATGCAGAGGTGTCAAGTATCATGAACCGGAATACTGGAAATTTGGTGAGGAGGGTAACAAGTACTTTAGGCATGCAACTGGACAAATATATGCCATCTCCAAGGATTTGGCTACTTATATATCTATTAACAGGTTCAAGTTTTTTTCTTTAAATTATTGGAGTTTATATGGACTGTTGTATACAGTGTCAGACAAACATCTGATTCAACTTATATCAATTTGCTTAGGAACATACTTCATCGATTTGCGAACGAAGATGTTTCTCTTGGGTCTTGGTTTATTGGCCTCGATGTAGAGTATATAGATGACCGGAGCCTATGCTGTGGGACACCCCCTGGTAAGGTTCCTGCCTATCGATATTTTAAGCTTGGCGAATGGCATCAAATTCTATGTTGCACTTCGGTCTGCACCGCGTTGCAGACCTGAGAGTTTGGTTAGTGTTTTCAAAGGTCATTTTCTTACAAGTAAAATTGTTAAACTTAAATTTCTGCAAATTTGTGTAATGATTATTTGTTCACAACCACAATTGTGCTTTTATCTTGTCATATAGCAGAATGATTATCTTTTTCTTTTCAAAAAGTGCACAACCCCAACAGATAAAAAAATATCATTTGCATTTTGCAATCACTTATGTCTTTGCTTTGGATTCAAGATTGCGAGTGGAAGTCACAGGCAGGGAACCTTTGTGGGGCATCATTTGATTGGAGCTGTAGCGGAGTGTGTAAATCAGTAGAAAGAATGGAAGAAGTACACCAGAGATGCGGTGAGGGTGATGCAGCAATCTGGCATACCAGCTTTTAATACCCTCAATATCTTTTATTATTATTATTATTATTGATTCTTTAGATGATCTTTGTGATTTTTCTTCTTCTTGCCCCTCGGGAGGTGTATCATGATAGTCAAATGTATATGCATATTTGTGGCAATCCGAAACCGGGCAGTTCATTTCTGTGCCAATTTTTGCTCATCAAGGATTGCTACTTCTGTTGGACAAACAAACCTGCAAAGAGATATACTACTATTAGTTTTTACTTTGTTGTACAAATCCCTGATGTGTTTTAAATCATTTACTCCTTTTTATGTCGTTATATGGTGACTGTCATGGTGGACTCTTAGAGAGACTGTATCCATGGATGTAACTCAAGCAATGTTAAAGACGATTTAATCATGACTTTTGGTGCAGATAACAGCTTCTTTAACTCTTGTGAATGGACCATCCGAGTTCGAAATTTATTTTAATCATCATCTGTTTACGTAGTTTATTCCTACTTTGTGTGGTTCTTGCTCATGTAATAACCTTCAATTATAGGAAAAATTTGTTTATGCATGTTTTGTGTACACATTTTTATACGCCCTTTATTTTACTTTATATGGATAATTCATTTAAAAAGTATAGAAAATTGAAAGTTGTCTGTATACATAGACAAATGTATGAAATGTGTACAAAAATATGTACACTAATCAAAACTCTCAAATTCTCAATTATATTATAAAATTTCAACAATCAACTAACAAGTTCTAGTTACACTTCATTGATATGAATGCCCCTCATATCTTCCTCCCTTTAGTTATTACACCTTTCATTAGTGGACAATTGGACATAATCATCTATGCCCTGATTCAAGTTACCTATAGGGGTTTTGCTTAAAATCCAAACACTAATACTTTTTGTAGAATCTAAAATTAAAACGAGTTTATTGTTTACCTAATGTCCCTAGCTCAATGATTTGTTGTTGGAATCTATAATTACCTAATGTACTTTCTAATCTTATTTCCTAAAGTATAGACGATTTTTCCATGTCATCGATATGGAGGTGTCATGTCAGCAATACCCAATTAATTGCATTTCCACGTCACTTACTCGTCCTGTCACAAGTTCATGTCATCACAATTACATATTGTCATATTCTTTTAAAATGCTAAAAACTTTGAGGCTAAGTGAGAGTTGAACCCAAGCACTCCTACTCCAATAATAGGTGGAGCTACATCCACTCTATCAAGAAAGTTAGTTGTTACTTTGTTGTTTTAATATATAGTCATTCACTTTTCCTTTTAATATGACATCAATTAGTTCACTAAATTTTCAGTATAATAATAATAATAATAATAATAATAATAATAATAATAATAATAATAATAATAATAATAATAATAATAATAATAATAATAATAATAAAATAACGATTATTTATCCAATAAGATAGAGTACGTATAGGTTCCAATAATATATATAATATATATATAGTAGCATTAAAATCAGTCCAATATGATGGGAATCCCGTCCGGTCAACTTTATTGTAGGTGAAACATATCTAGTTTTGTAAAGAAATACAAGAGTTTTCTATGCAAAAATTTAGTGAGTCACATTTGCAATTGTATAGAGTGTAAATCTATGGGCTATGTAGTTTTAATCTTTTTTATTATAATGGTGTCACTACACTATAAAAATTGATGGTGATGATCACACATGAACGTGCATGACTTCATAGGTAGATCAGATATCACCCTTTATTTTTAGCTTTACAGGATGAAATTTGAATAATTTCATATATAATTAGGATCTCAAGTTATACCGTGGTACCGGTATACCATACACATAGTATACCGGTATCAAATATGATGCCGTTTTCTTTACTAGGAGCATTACATATGCTCTCTTTCTTTTCCCTCAAGCCCTCCAGGTATGTTATTTCTTTCTCTTTAATTTTCTTTTTTTATTTTCTTCAATTCTTTTCTGCTCTCCATCAAAATACTAAAAATTTAATTGTGTTTTACATATCTTTATTTTAAGAAATAATTACATATTTATGAAAAATAAAGATTGCTTACAAAACTATGATTAATGACTAAAGTAGTAACTTAATCATAGTAACTTATATTCAAAATTTAAACTTAAGTGACCATGACATTATATTTTAGTAACTAATAATTATATTTGTCTAAGTAAATTTTATTTTAGTAATATTTTGAAAAAACTCTTATTCTTAACTAATTAAATCACAACAGAATTAACTTTTTTCTTTATCAATTTAATACAAAATTTTATTAATCCAAATAAAATAAATATATTGTATTAATAATCATACACTGTTTTTGTTTTTGTTTTTTTTTCTTCGACTCAAATTACTACCGAATTTCTTTTTCGTGTAATTTATTTTAGATTTATACACTTTTTTGTAAAATATTTTATTTGAAGAGGAAACGGACACGTGGTAGAGTACTTGAAACCCAGCCCGGTCCATTGCCTTAGCCCGTCACGACCCATCTCGACCTAGCATGTTAGCCCTAACTAAACCCAACTCAAAAGCCCATTTATACACTACTTATTAATTAATTCTACACTAAATACATAATTAGTAATATAAAATCATTGTAGCACCATATAGGTTTTGAACATCAATAAACCCTAGAATACAATGCAAGATAGAAAAAACAACATTGGGTCAAGAAAGGGAATATATTATATATATTATTACATCAAGACAAATTAGATAACTAGTGGTGATATGGAAGAGAATAAACTTCTTGATGATTGTTGGGTGACAAAAGTTTATGGCAACACATTTAAGCTTGAGAAGTTTATATTAGAATGATAAGTGTGACACTTGCCATCTCGAATTCAAGAGTGTACTTACAAAAGCTTATAATTTCAGATTTGTTTGAACTTTTATTTTATTAGTATATATTCTGGAGTAATGAGTTTTTTTTCACTTAGTTGATTATGTTGTATTTTGTGATGCATAAAATACATATGTATTTTCTTGCAAGTCCATTTGAGTCTAGCCCTAATATTGACTTGCGGGCCACCCTAGTCTGACCCCTTAAACCAATATGTATAGACGGGCTAGGGTTACAATTTCATTAAAAAGTCTTACCCAGCCCATTAATTAACTTTATGTATATTGAGCCCAGCTGGACCTAGCCCATACCCATTAGTATTGGACCGGTGTGACTCAGTCCAGCCCATTGACGATCCTTAAATTAGAACACGACATACTTGAATATCGCTTATATTAAAGTAATAGTTTCCATTTTTTGCTAAAAAAGGATTATGTCGTTATTGATATATGATAGCTTTATGTAGTGCTTTCTCCGCCCACAACTTTTATGTTTTCTTAAGACACGACTTTTATGTTTAAATATTCGATTTTGAACAATATCTTTAACAATATCTTATTACCAAAGCTATATTTCCAGCAATATTTTTGACAAATAAAGAACATTTTCATATTAGTTTCATATCACATAATTTTTTTATGGAAATAAGTTATTGATCAAACTTTGATATCTTTATTAAAAAGAAGTTAGACTTGATAAATTTGTTGCCTAAGAGAAGTAATTATGTAAAAAATATTGCAAAAATAAATTTGAAAATATTGTAAATCTTGATTAATTGTACAAATAAGAAACATAAAATAGGACTCTTGATATCCTATTGATATAAACAATAATGTTTGGTGTACACAAGATATTGCATGCATCCTTCCTACACTATATATAAACAAAAAATGCTTCATGTGCACGGTAAGTTATGCATGTTGTGTGCATGTACATGCTCGTTTTTTGTCTATGCACAAATGATTTTTTTCATTTTTGATAAGTGGATTGCATGTGACACAAACAATTTGGTTTTGCCTATGTCGCAGACAATTCAATTTACAAAAATGAAAAAAGAATTGTCTATGCACAAAGGAGGACGAGTATCGCATAAATATTTATTGTGTATTATTTATATCTACGAAGTTAACTTTAACGTACATTTAGTGGTCAAATGTGTACACGTTCTATGTACAAATACTAGTACCATTTTTGTGGAATCAATTGGCAGATTTATCTATCCCATGCACAAATGCACTAATGCACATGTGATCATGACGTGTCATTGTTAGAGTATATTTTTTTAATTGGATCAATTATTATAAATGCTTGTGATAATGTATTTCCTTTTATAGGCTTTTTAGAATGTTAGCCTTTAGCTTTAATTTATTAAGTAAGATGACCCTAAATGTTTGGACCCATGATAATTGTTACGACAACACAAATACCTAGATATTTATACTTACCGTGTTAGGTATCTGTGTAAAGATTGATGTCATGACTCGAGCGTGTGGAAGCAGAGAAGTTCAATTGGAGGAGAGGCGGGAAGGATTATTTCAGATGGGCTGATCCAACACTGGGAGAAATATGAATTGGGCTACAATAAATTTAGTATTGTTATCAGTCCATTTTGACTAGTTCATTTATATATATATATATATATACATATATATATATACACATATATATATATATACATATATATATATATACATACATATATATAGATTTAGGATCATGTGAGAATTTGATCTTAGGAGAGAAAAAAGAATGAATCATAGCCATTAGATTAACAAAACTTTTCAAACTACCGTGAACATGTGTAAAAGGCCTTTTTGTCATTTCATCATTGCATTAATTACCTTTAAAAATATGCTCCGTAATTGTTGGCACTACTTTGACCATTTAATAGTACGTTAATCACTTCATTTGTAGTTTTATATTCATTAATAATTTCTTCCTTCTGTTATGATTTCTCTACTTTAATTTTTTGACGTGTTACTATTAGTTTATACTATATTATTTTTTATTTTTCTTCAACTCTATGACACTACCCTTTTTTTTCATAATGGTATTCTCTTTAGAAAGTAGTTATTTTTTAAAAATATATTGTTTTATTTTGTGACAATATATTTTTCAAAATATTTTTTCTTCAACTCTTTTCTTATCATTTTCTCGCTAAATTGTTTCAAATGTTGAACATTTACGTAATTAATTGTGCACTTTATATACATTTTTCATATACATAAGTTGAATTCATCATAAGCTCAATTAATTATCCTTGCACTTATCATACTTTGTCATGCACTTTTGTAGTTTTTAATTTTTACTTTTTTTTTGCATATAAGATGCAGTGTCGGGGGAACAATAATGATCCATTTGGAAGAAAAAGTGTAAAAAATGTGACATAGTAGTGCACTTTTTTTTATATATTTCACATGGACATGATAAAAGTGCATTTCGTTTTGTAAAAATAGTTTGCGTAGAACATTAGAAAGTGTGATAAAATAGTGCACTTTATGATATTTGTTAGTTACAATGTTGTATATTTATCTTTATTCTTATTAAAGTAATTTTTATTTAAAACATGTATGGAAGTGCACAAGAACATAAGTAAAGTGTAGG